ATTAATAATCTGATACTCTGCACTAATGCAGATTATGATTTATGCTTATTAGGCTATAGGATATATTAAGATGTCTGTCTATTCATCCATCTTTTTTTTATTAATTGCAATGCAGAAGACAGGATGTTAGCAGGACAGGGAAGACAAACCAGTGGATCCAGGACAAGGTGTATGTTGAGTGTGGAAATGCTTTATTTTACATAGTGTATTCTTTCTTTCTTTCTTTTTGTTGTGTGTGCACAACTCTGTTCAGTCTAAGGAAGAGAAAAAAGTCTAAGTGAGTAATAGGGGAAGTTTGGGGGAAGTAGTTAAAGTGATTAAATAAATAATTATAATGGACAGAGGCCTACTATTACTGCCATGATGATGCTAATAATAATAATAATTATAACAATAACTTACAATGATAATAAAGACAAGACAAAGAGGGGCTGGCAGTGTGTGTCTCATCATATTTCTCAACTTCTTAAGTATCTTTGTTTGATTTATAGCAAGTAAGAAAGGAATATCAAAAGGCCTGTGTGTGAATTTATTACATAGTAGTTTTTCTAACAATTGTCATCAAGCATCACTTATCATATTAAAGAAATTTAGAAGTGCTTAAAATAATCTTTTTCACTAACCCACCCTCCATCTCTATCACACTTGCTATGTTTCCTCTGTAAAGGGACAAGCCATTTGTTTTAATTGTGCATTTGTTTCCTTTACTCATCACATTACAAATAACTTTCACATACTATTAAACTGCTTTGCAAATCATGAGGTGGTGGCACCAGAACTGCTGGATTGTGTTCAGAGGGAACATCTTATTTCAAATGAATGAAGTGCTAATAGCAGTGATGGTGTTGCTAGGATGGTGGATGTATAACGTGCACAGCTGTCACAGTGTAGACTAGGGTGTGCATCCAGACTCTAAACAACCAGACCATCACAGTGCTGTCAGTCCCTAAATGTAACCATGAAGAGGATTAATACTGCTGCAATCATTACGAGTAGATGTTGTACTGTAAGACGAGATATGTTGCTGGAAAATACATTGTCTGTGAACATTTTACTGACATGTTCAGTATAAACATATTTGCTACTTTCCAAATGTGTAAATTAACATTTCCTCATTGCCACTAATAAAAAAATGTAATTTGGTCACAAATAAGTTCCCCACAGTTTGCTGTTTTACATTAGTTTTACATGAATAATTTGTATCAGACAGAGATGCAGTTACTGCAGTGCACAGTCAGATGAGATCCAAATGTCATGTTTCTACATTTCAGTTAAAGTGACTTGTGCTCATCTTCCATCAGAAATCGAACACTCTGTAAATAGTATCATATTTATAATCAACCAGGAC